ATGTCCAGGGCTTCAGAATAGCTGCTTGCCGTTGCTGGAAGTCCGGCGACAGCCAATGCCGCATCACCGGTCAGAACTGAACGTAGGTAGGCGAACCGGTCTGCATTGGTGAGCCCACTGTTATTCTGAATCAATTGATTAAACTGCTCCGAAAAAGGTGTTCATGGTGGCGGTAGACCACCGAACTTCATGAGGATCGATTTTCAGAAGTTGGGTGGCGAGCTGGGGCATGCGTCGAATGCATTCACTAGGTATCGCCGGTAGTCTTGGTTCTGACACTCTTGCAACTGCCGTATACATTACTTGAGTTTCACTGACGTAGTTGTGGCTCAATCATTATAATCGACAACCCAGTCAAACTCTACCTCCGTTTTTGTGGTCGACAGCAGAAGGACTATGTCGGAGTCGGTTGCCTTCAAGTCGATGTGAAGCTGGTTAAGGCGTTCGTTGAGAATACAAGGCTCCTCTTTCGTAATGCTTACTTACTTACTTGAGCGTTTGCTTCTGCCTCCTTTATAATGTGTGTTGATTGAGCTCTCTCGGATTTACGCTTCAGCTTGAGAGCATCCATGTTGCGTTATGCGTTGAGCAGTTGTAAGTTGGTACATTGAATCCATAAGCCGAAAAGCAATTATCCTACGGTCATTGATGTTGTTCACTGTTCGTAAGTTTCCGCAACACTGGAAGAAAATCAAGCCTTCCGTTGAGTAGAGAAATGGGTTGCTTTACAATAAACTGCAGCCCGACTCCGTGAATTGCTGCAGCAGCGCGTGATTTGAAGGCCAGCACAGATTGTTGTCTCCTTCGTCAATCTTCTTCCTACAGCATGTTTACAACAATACATTTGCTTTCCAACTTTATCTCTAGCAAATAATTATTTCACATGCTCATTCTTAGGAATCTATTTCTTTTTTTTAAAGTTCATGAAGCTGCTGTTTGCTGTCAAGTACTTCTGCTGGTAACTGGAAAGTCGGCTCTTCCTTCAACAATCAACGTTTACTATTGAGTGGTGTATCATCGTTTTCAATGTGTCGCTTGTAGATGGAAGAACATTTTTTCTAATCAGCCATGGCAGAGCTGACGATGAACAGCAGTAAAATGTCAATTTGTTTGGGGGGGCACTGGTAACTGATAAGAGAGTTTCAAATTTCAATGCATTTTTATGAATTTTAGGTTCGAAGCAAATAGTGATATTGATCAAATTATTTCGAAACGAATTCGAATAGTATGTATTTCGCATGTTACCGTATTTTTGCAGGTATAACCTGCCCCTACATATAATCTGCACCCCCACTTTCAGCTCACCGAGAAAGAAAAAAAAAAATCGAGTATTGCCCGCACATTTGATATACAGTAAAGGCTGTACAATGCTCAGGGTAGGCACCGGTCTTGGGGCCACGAAATGACCTACGGTCGCGGGGCGTGGCTTGTAGGCTCTCTTTCTTTTTTCTCCATAGTCGCCCGCAGGACTTGTCCACATCGTGCCGTCTTCCCGCTTTGCGATTTCCGAATTCCTCGGCGACGGCGATGATCTTAAGCTTTTGCTGTGCCGTGAAGGCCTGCCGCCGTACGCTACTCATGGTGACAGAACAGATCGACCTAGGCTTCAATGACTTAGCACTACCCCTACTAAACAACAGAGCGTCAATAAGTAGTACATAAATTTACTGATAATATCTCTATAGGCACTATATTATCTCATTTGCTTTGCTGAAATAAATACTGCTTTATTTATTATGCAACTCAAACGGTTGCGGGAAGTCGTAGGTAAGATACAGGTATCGTTCACTTTGCAAAAACTCCTTCCTTTTCTTTCTATTTCTTAGACAGCACCACCTTTTGTGGAAACCGCCTCCGTAGCCTTCACTACACTGTTAAGGGGCTTCACAGCACAACACGCATTGCTGTGAAGCAGCACTATAGAAAACACCCCGCGTATTATCCGCACCTCCACTTTGCCACTGAAATTTTTGGGTTTTTGGTGCGGGTTATACGCGCTAAAATACGGTATGTTCATCTCTCTGTGTGTTTGTACATGTGTTCGTCTGCCTTTGTGTCCGTCTGTCTGTCACTAACACTAGCCCTACCTGCTGAGTGAGTCATACCATATTTTTGCGCGTATAACCGCCCCTGCATATAATCCGCACCCCCACTTTCAGCTCACCGAGAAAGAAAAAAAAAAAATCCTCGCGTATTGCCCGCACATTTGATATACTGGAAAGGCTGTACAAAAGCTACTGCTCAAGCAACATAGCACATATGTAGACAGAAAAGGCTTTATTTAGCAAGCAGAATACGCTGTCTGCAAGGCCAGTCACAATTCACTCACTGTCGCTGCTCTCGCTAGAGCTATCACTTGAGACGCAGTCCTCAGTATTATGCACAAGGTCATCTTCGGTTCCATCCATGTTGTTTGTGATGCAGCATTTCTTGAATCTTTTTCACACCATCTCACCTGGAATGGCCTTCCATGCCTCGACAATCCACTTGCGTAATAGGGCAATATCAGGCCTTCGGACTCGTCCTGTCGGCGTCAAGTCGTAGCAGCCTTTGGCCATCCACTCTGCGTAATAGCACTTGACATGCGCTTTGAAGGGCTTGTTAAGCGACACATCTAGAGGCTGCAACATTGACGTCAATCCACCGGGTATAACAACTTAGTCGGTGCCGTTGCGTGAAAGGCGGTCCTTCACTTCCTCAGTTGTGTGGCCGCGGAACGAGTCAAGAACGAGCATGGACCTCTTTGCGAGCATCCCACCAGGCCTCTTCTCCAATACCGTCTTGATCCAGTCTACGAACAAGTCACTGTTCATCCACGCGTTCTCGTGTGCGCGCACCACCACACCGGCAGGCAAATGAACCTTTGGTAGAGTTTTCCTTTTCAAGATGACGTACGGTCGCAGTTGCGTGCCGTCGGCGAGGGCACAAAGCAGGACTGTGATGCGCAGTTTCGTGTTCCCGCCGGTCAGCACGCTCACCGAACTGCTGCCCGTCTTCTCAATCGTTGTGTCCAACGGCATTTCAAAATAAACAGGAGTTTCATCCGCATTGCCGATTTCCCAGAAAATGTAATTGTGCTGCTTTCGCAGGCCAGTTACAAATCTCTGGTACTCATTCATGACTACTTTGCGCAAACCGTACACGGACACAAGGAAAAGAAGCAAACAACACGGCGCAAAACAACACGGGTTGTGCCCGTGTTGTTTGCTTCTTTTCCTTGTGTCCGTGTACGTTTTTCGCAAAGTAGTCATGAATGAGTACCAACTCGCCCAACTTTCAGCACTATCTCTGGTACTTGAGCAGCTTCTCCTCAAAAGAAGCCGGCAAGCGTTGACATATTGTAGTCCGCCATCTGATTGAGAGCCCTTGCCGCTTCATAAAGCGGTGCATCCATCCGCGGCTCGCACGGAACTCGTGAGGTAGGCCTAGCTCCATCGAAAGTCGCTGCGCTTCCACTGGGGCCATCTCGGTCGATATGGCATGACCCCTGCTTCTCACATCTTCAATGAACTTTACTAGCTCCGCCTCCAGCTCAGGGTAGGCACCGGTCTTGGGGCCACGAAATGAACTACGGTCGCTGTGTGCGGCTTGTAGGCTCTCTTCTTTCTCCACAGTCGCACGCAGGACTCGTCCACATCGTGCGGTCTTCCGGCTTCGCGATTTCCAAATTCCTCGGTGACGGCGATGATCTTAAGTTTTTGCTGTGCTGTGAAGGCCTGCCGCCGTACGCTACTCATGGTGACAGAACAGATCGACTTAGGCTTGGCAAACGGGTCGAGATGTGGAGAACTAGCGGCATCAGCGAGGTAAAGAGCGCTCACACTCGGCGACAACTTGACAGCACTACCCCTTCTAGTACACTGTAACAGCACCCTGGAAACAACAGAACCGAAATGCATGTCTGCTACCACGTCAAAAAGTAGTACATTAATTTACTGATAATATCTCTATAGGCACTATAATATCTCATTTGCCTTGCTGAAATAAATACTGCTTTATTTATCATGGAACTTACTCTATTTAGTATGGAACTTTCTTAGACAGCACCATCTTTTCGGCAAGCCCTTTCCAAAAGTAAACATGGCGTCCGTGACATAGGGACATGTGGAGGGTCACTGAGTGGCCGCGAACGTCCGAAAAATATACTTGTGGTGTGACAGTGAGATTTTACACTGAACAATCAAATTGTCTCTCCCCAAATGTTTTTCTAAATGCTTCAACGATGCAAGCAAGTGAAACCAAAATCGGCCGCAATCTGCCGTGCTACTTGCGGAGCAACACGAATTTGCGGAAACCGCCTCTGTAGCCTTCGCTACACTGTTAAAGGGCTTCACAGCACAACACGCATTGCTGTGAAGCAGCACTATAGGAAAAACCCCGCGTATTATCCGCACCTTCACTTTGCCACTGAAATTTTTGGGTTTTTGGTGCGGGTTATACGCGCAAAAATACGGTACAACTAAGTCTTTGTGCTATAATTCAAGTTTGAATGGAAGCTTGTAGCTAGCATAAAGTATTAGCTGCGGAAGACAACAGCACCCACAGACACTCACTCAACTGCTCTAGACAAGTGTCATTCTGTCGGTACAATTGTTACAACTTTTTTTTCCAGTTCGTGCCGTATGAATGTAATTTCTACTCAAAAACCTGCATCATCGGTGCCAACATTACCTTTAATAGCCGAATGCACAGACACGTGAATGCAGTTGTTTTGAGAAGTTGTGACAGCCGCATTTAAATTTGTGAGCTGCATACACTCAAACCTCGATATAACGAATCAGGATATAATGAAGTAAATGAAGAATAGTATTGAAGAATAGTAAATGAAGAATAGAATAGAAGAAAAGGAATATACCTTTTTACCAATTCTTGAATGTAACCAACTTATTTCCGTGTGTGATGAAACTTTGTCATAATGAGGTTAGAGTGTTTATTGTTTTCATTCGACAATTGTCCTATGATGTAGATGTGTATCAACTTTTTCTCCCTCAACCTTACAGAGTGACGGACCATCCCTGCTGGTGTGCATCGCAATGCTCTCTCTAGTCATGCTGGTGATGGTTCTCTTTACGTGCCAGCGCCGGCTGCCAGACTCGATGCGCTTCTACCCGAGGCGTCGTGTGGTCAGTCTCAAGATGCTCAGCTCGTCACTGCACAGCAGCTGATGGCGGCTCTCAGTTTGCTGGTGCATTGCGGGATTCGCTATGTTTCCCCGAATCTCATGTTGCCTGTTGTTTTTATGTTGCAATGTTTTGCAGTAGTTTGTGTTGCAATGTTCTGGGTGGTCAAAAGCATCTCTAACTAATGTAACTAAGAGGTGCATTTGTTAGTGCTGCTTTATGGCACCAAGAAAGCAAGCAAGAAAATGAAAGACTATAGACCGCGAATGTGTGCTTTTGTGGGGAGGCTTCGCCGGAACTAAGTCGAATCTCATTAATTCGAACTAGCTGATTTTGAACTTCCGGGTAATTCGAACTCGCGATGAGGTCCCGTCAAAGCTATGTGTATTCCAATGGGTGAGAACGCCCAGTAATTCGAACGCGCAAGAACTTGCAACGGTTAATTTGAACATACCGCGCTCTGAAAATGCTCTCAGCACCTCGCCCGATCCCGCGTTAGCACCTGCAACACCTCAACGCTGCGCACAAAGGAAAGGAAAAGGAAAGAAAAGGCTGCGGCGGAATGTTTGCTCGCTCTCAAATGCCGATCTGCGACGCGCCTGTGTCACGATTCACCCTTTTCCGTTACCACCACGTAAAGACCCTTCTCGTTCCGATGCCACGCGGGAAGAGAGAGAGGAAAAAGAAAGCTGCCGGGGGGTTGAATGAATGGTTGGTTGCGGTTAGAAGAGGAAAAAGGCACCTAATTTCTGCAGCCCAGTCGGGAGCACGACACAGTGCCTGAGTGGTTGAAGGAAAGGAAAAAGGCACTATCTTCTGCAGCCCTTGCCCCTTGCGGGAGCACGGCTCAGCGCCTTGAAGGGGGGGGGGGAAGTGTCTCTCACGTACCAGTCCCACGCTTCCCTTTTTCCCGTCCCTGCCACGTAACCCTTTTCCTTTCAACGTGTGCAAGAGAGCAAAAAAAAAAGGCCGTGGAGTGTTGGCTTTCTCTCAAATGCCGATCTGCTTCTCTCTGCGTGGAAACGCTCCTCCTTTCTCGTCACGTGCTGGCCATACTGCAGCTCGGCTACGCAGTCGTTGCTGTCGTCGTCGTCCTTAGAGAGGGTCGGTGCTGGACATTTCCGCGTGCAACTTTTCTTGCCAGTAGAAGGCTGAAGCCGAATTAAAAATGCTTCGCAAGCTGCGTGCAGAATTGGTTGACTCGCTGCAAGGCAAACGTGTGCAGATCCGCATCACCGATTACTTCAAATAATGACGGATGTCTTGTGATTTGTGAATAAACGTAAGTGCACATGCGCCACAGCATGGAGAGCTCTCTGTTTATTTAGCTTTCATTAATTGGAACTTCTTTTAATTCGAACAAATTTTCAGGGCCCCTTCGAATGCGAATTTGAAGTATCGAGATTCGACTGTATGAGCGACTCGCCACCGGCTTCGTGGGAAGAAGGGCTCCCACACGAGAACAATGCCTCTGGCTCAACAAAGGGTAGAATAGGGACCGGGCGTTCATACTATCTGAACTGCACAGGGAGTGGGTTTTTGAAGGCCTACCTATTGCAGAGGGCTGAGGTATAATGAAGAATCATTAGCTACAGCATCAACAAAGTGAGGAGCTACGTGTTCTGCCTTGCAGACGCATAGTGAGTACTTTGCCGATTTACAATATAACGAATTGTGGCATAGTAGGCACTGTGCAAGCTCACTTGCGATGGGCATGTGTTTAGAAGAGTTTCAAGTCACCACTTTGCTGGGCACAGACTTTTCTTTTGTGGCCGCAAGAGAAGGTCTTAACTAAGTAGTGATGCCTGGAAAGAAGATAAGAAGTTAATGCAGATGGGGCTGAGTTGCTCTGTCATGTTCTGCTCTTGAAGGCAATGCTCGAACGCCCTATTTCTTTATGAGTAAATTGTGTGTGCACGTGGCCGCTTCCAGTGCTGTATTTCGGCTGTGCCTCCGCATGTGTGCTATTGTCATATTCAGAATTTAACACGGGACCAGACATGCTGGTGAATGTTAGCATCATGAGTCACACAATACACTGTATTTGCACCTATGCTATTATGTGTTAATAATAATTCATGAGTGTTCAAGCTTGATGGAATATGTGCTATAAGCGCTGCAAGTGTCCACAGTTGCACATTGTACTAAATGTTGCTTGTCTGGTGCCCTGAATCGCAACGGTTGTCAGTGGATTGAGGTAACATCCTGCCATGTTAATAACATATTCTTGTAGGCTGCTGATACTTGTGCACTTAGACGTAATACTGCATCTTCGTTGAACATTGTTATGCATGTCTAGTTCGTCTCATCTTTTGGTGTGCAACGTGTGTAGAAGGAAGAATGTGAATACTAGATACGAATGTGTTCTTGACAGAGCCACCTGTGCTGACAGTCATAGAGTTAGTACAAACTCTACAGGAAAAGCTAGGCTAAAAGAGCACCGATCAAAAACAGTGTCATTACATTACCATTGTCATCTTTATTGTGCAATTAATAATAGAAGGGCTATTATTAGTGCCATGAAGCACCAGTAATACTGGCATCATAAATCAAACTTGGTTGTTATTATGTGTCAGTGACGTGTGAACAGTGTTCGACATTTATTTGGAATATTCTATCAAAGCAGTGTTAAAGAGCCCGTTTTGCAGAAGTTCGTCTTGAGGTCGGTGTCGGCCTTTTTTGTTGTGTGTGAAAAATCTTTACAGTCCGTGAGTGAGAATTCGATGTAGATGCCAATAAAAAACTAATAAATTTTTGGTTCGAGGAGGACTGGTGATCTAAACTTACGACTTCTTGCTAACGGTGCAGAGGGTTTAACCACTCGACCGCCATGCGTAAGTCCTCTAGAATGTAACGCTGAGCTGCTTATGTATGTGATCTGGCATTTAGCATTGGTGGTACGCACATCTCGGAGGTCCTTCTGTGGCTTGACACAATGCCTATGAAGTGGCACAAAGAGCAGCTCTTTTAATGGCACTCGCCCAGCATATGGCCATGGTTTGTCGCTCTGCATGCAAACATGGGGTCATCTGCACTTTGGTGTTCCTTGTGACACAGTTTTGGTATTTACCGAAAAGTGAAGTCGGGCTAGGGATTGAGAAGGCAATACAAACATGGTACAATTACACTATCATGTTTTACTTTTAAAAGGGAAGCTAAGGTGTCCTCCAAGCTTTTTGAGGAAGGATCTAAAGTCATTTAGGCAGTTTATTTAGCACAGGACTCGCGGCGTAGAAAAGGTGTATGCACGTGCTTTTGCTAAATGGCATCACAGCATCCACTTAGGTTCGAGATCGCGGAAAATAGCACGTCTTTTGCACTGCAATGGGTCATCATTTGCACTATTATCTGGTGGGGCTTTTAATCTGTTGCGTCCTTGCGATAGTCGGTAAACTCAGTAACATACGTAGTCTTCCAACAATCGTGGCGATTTCTTGCGAAGTCGCTGGTCAGCTGTTCGGGGCGGCGTATGCTCTTCCCCCTCTTCCTCGTTCAGCGACGGCTTGTGACATGTACTTGTTTGTGGCTGAACGTGTATGTCGGGCTCACTGTAGTGCACGGTTGTTTATTCACTTGTTTGTGGCTGTGAACTGTTGTCAGGCGTCAACTCGGAGGTTGCTTGACTAGATTGCTTCAGAAAGGCTTCAGTTGTCGAGCTGTCGTGAGTTCAGTGCCAGCAGTACCCCTTTTGGGTATTGTTCCACTTCTTTTTCCACTTCTGTTATAGCGTAGGGTTTGTCGTAGATTGGTCCTAGTTTTGTTGGTCGTGACCCGCTGTGGTACCATACTTCTTCATCCACGCTGAAAGGTGGTGACCTTTGTTTGGTGTCGTACTTGCGCTTAAGCTCGTGCAGGTATTTGGTTAGCGTGTTTCATGCCTGTTCGTGTCTCGCTTTTGCTTGGTCCTGTGGCTCTGTTGGCACAGATAGCTCATTGTCGATTGTCCAACAGGGTATGTAGTTTTACAGCAGTTGAAGTGATGGGTGTCGAGCAATGTGCGACTGGTTGTTGACCTGAAATGTTGTTTCTCTTAAGTATTTGCTCCAGTAGTTCATGTTGCCGTTGTTGTTCCTTTGGACTACTGACATGATTTTTGCATTTACATGTTCAACAAGATCGTTTGTTTAGGGTACATAAGGTATGGTCAAACTGTGCTCGATATTCTTCTCTGTGAAGTGACGTTTTGCAACTTGTGATGTTAAGACTCTGTCATTGATACTGAGGGGAAAACAGCGCAAAAGCAGGATGAAATAAGAATGGTCACACAATACAAGCGCCATCCCATTTTACTTCATCCCGTTTTTGCACAGTTTCCCCTTCAATGTTATTTACCAACTGGCCCTTCAAGACCCTCTGTCATTGTCTGTCACAAAAGGTTTTGGCGTTCCAGATGTGAATGTGATGTCTTCACAGAAAAAGCATAGAACGTGTTTTGTTGACTTGTCTGGTACAGCATGCGTGATGATAATCTTGTCACGAAATCAACTGTCGTTATAAAGTACCTGTTGGGGTCCTCAGTTTGAATAGAGCAAATGTGGTCCATAGCAGTTTTGTCAAATGATGCGTGCATTGGCCTATAAGGGTTAATTGAACCTGCTCGCACTTAAGTTTTGGCATTGTATCGTTGGCACGTTTGGCATCCACATACATAGGCTTTGACGTCGCGGTTCACGTCCTGCCAAAAGTAGCATTTGATATTTCCGAATATCACTAGGAGGTATTGCCATGACTGTTTTTATCATGGTATGATGCCACAGAACCAACTTTTTCAGGCTTTCTGGCACCAGGATTCAGTGCCTCTCCCCATCTCTGTCAGTGGTCACATGCAAAAGTCTGCCCTTGCACCACCCTGTATGTGGTCGCCTTAGGTGCTCCTTAAATTTTTTTGATGATCGGGGCGAGCGTAGGATCCTCTTGTTGTGCTCTGCCAAGTTGGTTGTCTTCAGTTGTGTGGTTGTGTTGCTGACATGTGCGGCTGACATGTGCGGCATTTTCTGTACTGTACTGGGCAGTGTCCTGGTCCATATTTTGCCAGTAAGTAACATATGCACAGTTTGGACTAAGTTTGCAGGGCATCACTGTTATCTGCATGATTATGGTGACATTGTGTTAAAGCAGATCGAA